TGTCTATCTGAAGGGCACCATACCAAGGGTTTAAAGAATAGACCTTTTGCATGCGTGTAAAGTGGTGTAGCGAGAGTGGGGGATGTTGGCTTTATACTGTAAATAATGTACAGAAATATTAATGCAAACTGACAACTCGTCAGCCAGTGTTGCTGTGAATTCATGAATGAAGTTTTCATACCTATAAAATTTGATTCTGTTAAAACTAATAATGAAGTTTAATTTCAGTTACAGTACAGTACAGGGTACCTGTATTGTATTATAAAATACTCCTGAGAACTTCATACACTCCAGCTCTACCACAGTTTCCTCCTTGACAGAGAATGGCACATAATAAGTTAAAACTATTCTCATAATTCTAAAATTTATTCACAAAGACTAACACTATAATGGTCTGCAAACAAAAACCTCAAATTGTTTCACATGCAAACAAAATTTCACTTGCTTATCCTTCATATTAAATACAGGATGTTTCAAAACATTTTATAAACTTGTGGGAGACCTCACACATCAAGTAATGACAATATTTGTGTTGTAATACAAACATTCACACAATTGCCACAAAAATCTTTAACCCTTAAAATGCTCACAACCTTCCAGACCCACATACCTCATATACAGTACAGTACACATAAAACTGACTGTTTAGAAAGAATTAATACCAATTATGTAATGAAAGTTTTTTATGTAAAAATAAACAATACCTGTACAGCATTAAATATAAATTATATTCTTGCCTTCCTTCTGGCATATGAATGCATAGGACAATGGTAATGAAAGCACCAAATAGTGAGCATCAGCCTTTTCTAGCAATAAATCACTCTCCACTCTGTTTCTGATGCTGGTCCATCAGACCCAACACTTTCCATTCTTCAATACTGTACTACTGAAGAGAATCTTTTGGTGGCTAGACTTTAACTAAGTACGTGCCATGAATAGGCTCGCTTACCTTCCTGCATCAGTACTGACACATATTGGTGCCTGGAACAACCATATTTGTTATCTATGTATAACTGTATAAAGAGTGAAATGAATAGTTGTAGGTAGCAGATGACAAAACAGAGGAAACTGAAACTTCTCATTTGGCAATATAAAATAAAACAAGAACAAATTTGTAAACATATGCCTCTCCATCAGTCAAAAACATTTACCAGACATATGGAAAAGGCAAAAAGGTGCAAATGTGACCTATCAGAAGCTTCCCCAGCAAGATCATGTAGTCATCAATGAGGCATGAAAATTTGACCCAATGTGCTTGAAAACTTTTTGGGGAGTAATTTTTTTTTTAAAGTTCGATGACACAATTCACATCAAGGAAGCAAATAGCGCTACCAAATGATTTGACACAATTCACATCGTGATGTGCAATAGGGTTAATCAGTGTTAAAAAAATAATACTGTACTGTAATGAACAAGGCAAAGGCAACATTTACAAATGAAAATGGGTGTAAAACACTGATGATCATCATGAACTTCAATTCATCCTTATTATATATGTGGTGGCAAATATGTCCAATCTATTGGCTTCTTCCCCCCCTTCTCAAGAAGTTTGCATCCAAAGAACCCACGATGAGCAAACAGTGGTAGTGCAGCTTTGAGCAGATGATGTTTCTTCTGTGGTGAAAAAAAAAAGTCATTACAAACTTAAGTACTATAATAAAACGAGAAAATATAGACTATACAACCCAAACAAGAAATGCCATTAACCACTAAACAACAGCCAACATCAACTGGTGTTAGTTGAAGAGATGGGAGCCAACATCAATGGTTGCTTCATGTTCCTTGCATTCCAGTTTTTGTGCATAAGAGGACACAAAATGTTGTTTTGTATTAAGGGTCAAGATAAGCAAGCATAAGAAAGATTTTTTCCTAAAATACACCTATTTGAAGATAACTCCATGATTAGCTGACATGGCCTGAGCCAGGTTATTGCTTGCAGGCACTGTACTGATGCCTGTCTGGAGCATTTCCACAAGATAAGCTAGGACAAGCTGTGTGCAAGATGTATATCTAAAGAAAAAGACATCATCAATAAGTAGCAAAATCAATACGTTAGATGAAAAACATGAAAGAAAATGAAAGTTATATTCAAAAGAAATGAATTTGGATTTATTCTATCCATCAATATTTCTTCTCTGTAAAATACAAAATACAATTATCCCAGTTCCTAAACCTAATAAAAGATTACCAGTACCTGATGATTAATCACTCCAATGTTAGCCTGACAAAAACTAACTTAACATAAACTACCCTAATATAAGCCCCCAATTACCATTAGGGTGTTTACCGGTAATCATCAGGCAAAATAAGCAAGGGTACCTCATATTCATTGAAGATCCCGTGTATATTACATGCAGGCATTAGGCAGCTTGGTACAAGTAAAGTCTCCTCAATACAGAGTTGTCATCAGCAGCCTCTACAATTTTGAGAGCTGGAAAGTTCCTGAATTATAGAAATCATCAATAAATGAATTCTGTCATTTTGTGAAACAGTTAGCAAATGTCTGTCCAAAAAGAAGTAAACAAAAGGAGAAAAGAATGGTGGGCACCCAAACACATAAACATGAAGGAATATAATTAACATGATACAGTTTAAATACCTTTAATAAGGGAATACTTGGCAGAACACCAAGAGGCATTGCAAGATAATGGTTTCCCCCAGAAATCTTAAAACAAGTAAAAAGTGTAATGTCAATATTTACAGTATGTTTTATAGTGCACAATAAAGCAAAAGAAAACTGCCTATAAGAAAGGAATTGTAGGGTGGGATTGTAACAGAAGGATTAAGGATTATATGACAATAGAAACAAAATGTAATCTGAGGAATTAATGTAGGCCAGGGATGAGGGAGTGTAGGACATTATACAGTGAGTTAAAAGTAGTTTACCGTATGAACAACTTTAGCTTTCTTCTGGGCATATGATCCCCACAAAAGGAAAACAACACCTTTATTATGTACTGATATTGTTTTGATGACCGAGTCGGTAAACTTCTCCCAGCCTATGTCCTTATGCGAGTTAGCTTTGTGGGCCTTGACTGTTAAACAAGCATTGAGTAGTAAGACACCTGAAATGGATAATTTTTTTAAAAATAGTTATGGGGTAGAGTTATAAAGCATAATGGTATTAACGAAACATTACTGAAAACTTTTAACAGTAGATCAGATCAATTACATTTCAATACAATACAGTTTGGTATACTTTGCATATTCTTTGGTGATGACTCTACCTCATGGCCTCCTCTCCCCTGCCATGCAACAAGTGGTACCTCATTGTCAATATGGTGGTCGGCTGATAAAGTTTTAAGCCGAGGCCAATCATACGGACAAATCTCGTCACATTGTCTATTGCAATTCTCGAGAAACCTAACCTTGAGCAAGAATCACATGGAGGGAGGACAATTTCTTGGCCATTGCGAGAAACATGTCCATATGATGAGCCACAGTGTATTTTTTGTTTTGTTTTTAATAACATTCGTCTTTTAACTGGGTGGATAACTTGATAAGTTTTGGACAGAAGCCATGAGACAATCTTTAGATATAATTATGCCACCAAAAGCATACAGTATCTTTCAGCATGGCAGTTGTATTAGTGGCAGCAAATAACTCCAGAATAATAGTTTGAGATCTAATAACAATTAATGCATGAAACAAAATAGTAATTTAAGTTTTTTCTCACCACCAACAAAATTACACAGACTTTAAGATATTCAGCAACTGATTGAATAATATGAAGTTTGACTGATTTTCACATACTATACTGTATTGTGAAATTATAAGGTTAACCAGAAAAATTTGTTTGACTGCCAACATAAGATTATCATCATTCTGTACAGAATTCCATCACAGGACAAGTAGGTTTAAGTCAATACATATTTTAAGTACAGTAATTTAACTCTGTAGTGATAAAGATTTTTTAATGACAGAAGCAGTGTAAAGGATTCTGTATATTGCTGAACATCCATCACAACATATGAGGCATTTAGAAAAGCAGAGGCATATCACCGGATTGTCCAATTTCCCATTTTCTAAGTTAGTCCATAGCCCCAACATTCTTCTATCAGGTAATGATGTCAGGCAATCCCCATAAGAAAACAAGGGCCAAAATCATGCAGTACAACCTCGAAATTGAGCCGAGTTGAGATATTCAGACCTATACCCTTATGTCACAGCTCAAGATTGAAGAAGCCGCAAGTCCAGAAAACCGTGAGGGCAAACTTTTTCGGAGTGAGGGTTGTAAACTCTTGGAACAATCAACCAGAAAGTGTTGTGATGGCACCGAGTGTGAGCTCTTTCAAGACAAGACTTGACCAACACTGGAGCGGGTTCAGGTACATTCAGGAGCCGGTGCATGCCCAGTATTTGCCAACAGTGCGTAACAGAGACGTGACCGATCGCCCGGGTGGCTAGAGAGCCGATCTTTTGGTGAAGAAGATAAATGAAAAGGAAAAGTAATCAGAGACGTGACCGATCGCCCAAGCAGCTAACGAGCCGGTCAGTGGCGAAGAGGATAAAAGTAAAAGTATTCTCTATGCCTCACATAATGATAGAAGGGTGGTTATGGAAACAATAAGTCAAAAAAGTTCTAATTTCTTTTATGTTTCAGTACAACTTTCCTTAGAGAGAAGGTTGTACTAAGCTGTAAGAGAAATTAAAATTGCTCTGACTTACCATTTCCATAACCACATTGCTATATATCTTACCTGGCTAACATCTTGTCAAGACCTGAAATATCAATTCAACATAAAAAGTATATTAATCAGGGAAAAACATATTCACATTGATTTTAATACACAAATAAACGATATGCTGTCTAGTTCATGTTCAGTATATATGAGATATTTATGTACATTAAATGTACATCATGTGCACAGTACAGTAGGCATATACAGTACTGAAACTTATGCAGACACACTCTACACTATATATATGCTGTAGTAATAATTATAAAAACAAAAAACCAAAAAAAATAATAACAACAAAAGTAAGAATAGAATCTTCAGATAAGCAAATTTTCAGTTGGAGATCATTTGGATAGTGAGGGATACCACACACACTAATGTACTGGGACACTATACACAACCAATAGTGAGGAACAATATCTGGTAATCAATACATGACACTTGGTTCATCCTCAAGAGAACCTTTAATTTGATGTGGGAGAAGTGTTTAAGGTCGGATTAAGTTGCAATTTCTAGTTTTTGGAAGGGGATTCTGTGCGGCCAAACTAATTCAAAGTAAAGAAATAACACGAGAGATTCCCAGAAGGGTGTCACTACAACACCGTAAAATATAAACTCACTTCTAACTATAATCAATATCTGACATTATCGCACTGTTTAATCATTCCTACATAATAGCAATAAATATTGTTTGGGGGATATGAATTTTCTTTACACAAACTAGACCATCATTGTCTTTGTCTCAACAGGTACAAAATATGACTTTCTTTACCATAAGAAATGAGGATATACAATACAGTACTATTTTCAGTCACACAGGCTTACCTTGTTGTGCCCAACCAAGTAAGCAAGTATCATGTGATGGCCACTCAAATCCTGGGATATCTGACTCCAGTTCCTTGTACATGTTCACCAAACTGAGGAGGATGCATTTTTTCCCATGTTAATAAAAGATCTTTACTGAATATACTGTACACACAAGAAAACTTTGTTTATTATGTAAGTGAAACAAATCAAGTCCATGAGCAAAAACAAAGAAAGTGGGTCAGGAAACATTTACCAGGTACAGTATACACAAACCAGAAGCAGGGAAAATAAACCCACAGAAACTGAGACAAGAAAGCAGATCGAGTAAACTTCATTCAATGAAAGAAAAATGTAGAGCATAAAGCTACATTATAAACCATCAAAAGGTAATATGGAGGATGCTAAAAATATGAGACATGGCATCTCCTTTCTTTCTCTGTCAGCAGTACTTTTATAACATACAAAGAGAAAACTGTTTATTATGGACAATGTTTCAGTTATAAACAATATTTTTCCAACTATCAATTCTTGTCCCCTAACTGTCCAACCACAGTAAATCCCCGCTTTACGCGGTTTCACTTTACGCGTTTCCACGTTTACGCGGTACCCTGCCGAAACCGGAATGCTCACTTTCCGCGGTGTGTGTACCCTTTTACGCGGAGAGCGGCGCGAGCAGGGTGCACACAAGGTCGCCCAGTCATCAAAACATTACCGAGTTCTTCATTCGCCACAGCCGGCCCAAGTCAGTGATAGTGATAATGATAGTGAAAATATGGACTTATATGGACTTTGAGGGGTTTGAGAAAGAGGCCCTGCAAGCCTCTGTGGTGGATAGTGACACAATTGATACAAGTGATACAGGTGAGGGCCAATAATCTGCCCTCAGCCTCGGAACCAACCCCCCATCCCCGTGTGCCCAGCCATCTTTTCTACTAATGTAAGTGTTAAAAAACCTAATATTATTGATATATCTCTTAATTATTAATTGTGTGTGCATACCATCATAAAATTAAGAAGTTATTTTTACTACAACGTAGGTATTGTGTCTGAAAAAGCGGAGTTTGGGGGTCGGCCCGGTCTCTATTTCAATTAATCCCATATGTTATGTTGTTCACTTTACGCGGGCCGCCGTGGGTTCAATTGACCGTGTAAAGTGAGGGTTCACTGTACAGTACTGTATATGCTATTGACATGCTTTTTCAGTTGTTTCTCCCCTCAACAAATGACAGTAAATAAATGAAATTTGTGTCTATAAAGTGCACTTGCGATAAATAATAATATGGAATAGTTAAAAAGAGTGCCCAGGTAATTTCCTTTACTTAGTTACCCACATTAAGACATTTTAGTTTAATTGACTAATAAAAGTTTAAAGGTGAGAAATTAAATGAATGTATTGTTACTTAGTAACTTAAGACAATTATCAGTACCTTGGAGGTGGTGGCGCACCGTTCTGAACACTGAAACATATACCATGTGCTTGTCCTGGTATATGATAAGGATTTTGTCCTAAGATGACCACTTTGATGTCCTGCAACTTACATGCTTGAGTCCAAGAGAACACCTGGTCCTCTGGGGGGAAGTGTTGCTCGTTTGCGCTCATGTTCCAAAAATTTACTCAACTGTTCAGTAATCAAAGGAAATGTTCTTTTTAATTTGAATATTTCTAACAATTTATTCCAGTACTTTCTTAGAGTAAGAAATAAAATCCAATATAGAGCAACAAGAGAACTAAATGATAAGATGACTTAAAGGAGGAGAATGACTCTTAAAATTTTTTTTTAACCTTAAATATGATATTCAAGTAGAGTGTTGGTTCATTGTGTCTTGAACTGCTCATGGTAAAGTGCCATAATGGGATATAAAAACAATTATGAAATGGGAGGATTTCCCCATTCTAACATCTGACTAAAAATTTACTCTCTATAACAACCAGGCGGTAGTACCTCCCTGTTTGGTAGCTGCATACTACCTACTACACTAAACTAGTTAATCTTAAGTGAAATACAGTATACTGAGAGGGCTAATGTTCAGGTAATGAGGAGATAGAGAGATACTGTATTCTACCCACCTTCTCAAAGTAGGGCTGAGAGAACTAAGACTTGAGGGCCAGGTACCAAGTATGACCAATGTTCTCAGGCAGACCTGGAGTTTTCTTACACTGTTGTTTTATCTCTGCCTGTAAAATTAGTAAGAATCTCCCTGTAGCTATATAAACAAAAATGCATTCATTGATGGCCAGTGCTTAGCCAGGTATCACAACTTTTTAAGCATCAATAAGATATGTAAGCATATAAAAGAAACAAATGGTACAATAATTCACAGCCAGTTGACTGATATTATATTAAAACAATAATAAGCCAACTAATGGAAAACAAGACAAATAGCAAATAACAGTTATACTATACAGTACGTCTACATCAACAAACAAGTGCACATTGGCACTGAGCAACAATCATTAATGTATGAAACCTACCTTAATTTGGTTTTGCATCATGCATTGTTTCTGCTCTGGGGTAAGGCCAGATTGGACCTTCTCATCACGACACTTTGGGGGCATTCCTAGAGAGGTATACATGTAATTCTTCAATATCCTTTGACAATTTAAGCATGTAATAAATACAGGGTAATCTTTATTTTGTGATGCAGTTACAGTATCAACAACTTGTCTAAAGCTGATGTTTCAATGTGTATTAGCAGAACTTATGAAATTTTTAAATGTTTTCAATACCTGCTCAGTTATACACATCCACAGTACAGTATGTAGGAGTATTAGTGGAAATTTAACAAGACAAGAAAAGAGGAAGAATGAAGGAACAATTCTACGAAGTTAAAGATAATGAACTGAAAAAGAAAAGAATATAAGAAAAAAAAGAGAGGAAAGTACAGAAAGAAAAATACAAAATGCAAAGGAGTAAGCAGATGTGTTGTTGGCAAGATAAAATTCTATTTGTTTTTGTTTTTAAATAGCTACTGCACAATATTAGACACAGACAAATATTGGTCTGATTCACTAACCCACCATATGAGATCATCACACACACATTCAAGCTAGACATGGCTCACCTTGGGGTATGGCCCAGTTCTTTGATGAATGATTCCCCACACACTAAAAGGAGAACATCATCATACAAGTGTTGATGAGAAGCTGAAATTAATAATCATCTCTAATTTAAACATGGAAATATCACTTGAACTACCCTAAGACATAACCCTGCTCAGGTCACCACTTGTTCCTTCTTCATCACCCCAAACCTCAGCCTCAGGGGAGTATAAAGTATAGTATGTGATAATTCTATTGATTTTATGTGAATATGTTAATGGGAAGCCAACTTATTCTTTTTATTTTTACCTTTAATGGAACATGGATGCATCAAGGCACTGTAGCTTCAGGTCCATAAGATACTGTACTGTATCGTACTTCACATTCACAAGAACGGCTGTAAATGGTCTAGTATAATACAGTAGCTACACAGATATCACAATGAACAGCCCAGGAGGTTTATCTTCGTTAAAGTTCCCCTGCTTATTTCACCTGATGATTAACCAACCTAATGTGAAGTGGAGGATTAGGTGAGGCTATGCTAGGCTAGAGTAGGTTGTGATAGGTTATGTTCGATTAGGTTAGGTTAGATAAAGTTAGGTTAGCATTAGAGTGTTTATTCATTAGGTTAAATAGGCTGGGGTGCCAAAACTCCATGAGATCCAACTTAACTACAAAACAATTTCAGTTTAAATACTTACTGGAAGGATCACTGGAAGAATCATTTTGCTCATCAATCTTTGATTTTTTGGTGACATCATTAACCTGTAAATTTACATCTTCAATCAAATAAAAGTTATCTTTAAAGTGAGATAAATATTCTGAGAGATGGACATAAAATACACAAGTGGTGGATACAGTGTGATAAAACGTGTACCATCAATCAATACTGTACATTAATGATTAAGACTGGAAAATATTTATGAACATGTACAGTCCCCTTCACTAGTGCCTTTACAGGGGCTTGTCAGGTTTTGTGCAATGTGACAGCGCTGTGTTTGTTTACATTTGACAGAAAGAAACTCGCAACAGCAACAATACTATGGAATCAAGTTAAAACAATAGAAACAATCTCAAATGTGGAATGTTTATATGAGGAGCCCTTAAATGTACTAGTGAAGGGGACTGTACATACAGAGAATGGTTAAAATTCACAGGGAGCGGGTTCCCAAAATGCCCACGAATGGCTAAATCTGTGAATACCATTTCTTGACGGAGAGGAGAGGAACGACAAACCAGAACCAGGCCAATAAGATAAGACAAAAGTGATTCCATCATATAGTGAGAGTTAGGTCATGTTAGGTTTGGTAAGGTTTATATGCATGTTTTTCTATTTTTTTGTGTATTTTGTATTCGATTGGCCATAATTTTGGTCGGAAAACACCCCACCCGAAACCCCAAAAACTAAAAAACAGGCAATTTCCAACGGAAATTAAGGTCAAACCCAATCAAAACACATAATACTACACTAGAAAAACATTGTTTTGACTTTCTAACAGAGTTGTGTGCACTAAAGCAAATTTACCAAAATAGATCACATTGAAATGTACAAGGTTGTTTCCACTGGCAAGGTTGCGTTAGCATTATGCTTTTGGAGTACACGCCAATCGCCCCTGTAGCGATTGAAAATGTAAACGTACTGTAAACGCGTGAATGGAATCCTAGCTTAAATCGGAACTTAGCCATTCACGGCAAAATATCCACTATGTACAATTTAAGGTTAGATATTTGTCCATCACTAACCTCTAAATCCTCGCTCTCGCGCTTAATGACATGCATAAAGAAGTTCTTGATTGTTTTCTGTGACGCCATACTTCAGCAACAGGTTTACTCGGACGTCCAAAAGTGATTCCCAAAAGTGTGAAATAAAGGTTTTGTCTGTCTTGCCGCCACATGTGAGAAGCGAGCCCTTCTCTTTTTACGGTGTCAAGAACCTTACCACAACCATAAACAGAGTCTAAAATATTATTTTCTAAGCAAAAATATCTCTCTGAACCAATTTCAGCTAAATAAAAAATATTTTCATAATATATTTATATTTAGTTAGTTATTGTAATTATTAGCTGTTTAAGAGTGATTTCTAATTCATATATATTATTTAATTGTTGGACTAGTGTTATTACTAACCTTGTTACACTATTTATGACGACAATGTTGAAGCACAAAATAACAATTTAATTTTTAAGCGATCAGCTCCTTTGAAGAAAAAAATATTTGTTTTCCTTTCACTCGATATTATAAGGCAAGCAATAATAAAATAAGCTAAATGTTCTCTCCTTACGTGGCATAATTGCAACCATGTCAAGAATTTTGAACGTAATCAAAAATACATGTCAAATCTCCACATACTTAAAGGTAAATTCATATAGTATTTGGTTATTCACCCGAATCTTATAGATTTATTCTCATAAAATATTAATTTCGGATATTTGATATATATTACGAATATAAATTGCCCCGATCATTTCTTAAGTTAGATTGTAGTGGATTTCTCCCCTACAAACGTTGTTTGTCGCTGCGTAGCCGACCCCACGAACTCCACAGTGTGTGCCTCGTGGTGTAGGTCAACCAGTGCCGCCATACATCACGGAGCGGGGGTCAACTACTAAGCCACGCCTACCCCCCGCTATTTAAGACCTGACCTCGTGGTGACCTGTCTCTTTCTACCTACACCAACCAGCCAGCAGCACCTCCTCCTCCGCCTGCCTGGCGGTCCTCGCTCCCGCCGGCGAGCATGGCGACCCACAAGCTGGTCCTCCTCTGAGCATCCTCACCAACCAGCTCTCTCTACATCAAGCTTGTAACCATGCTGCCTTCCCAGCACCAAGCTGCATTGTACATCCAATATTACATGTATACATGAGAGCACATTGTGAGTTTCCTTTCTCCATTCCATCCTGAGTGTGAACCAAACATCCTGAACGCTACAAGATATTAAAAGAAAAGGAACCATCAGTTCTGTCGCAAATTCTCTGTTGAATAACAAGTCTTCACCTGAAACGATCTATGATCACACCTACTCCATATTTACCACATCTGTACTGCAGCCAACACTTAGGAAGGATAAGCATTTGTGAAACTAGGATTTGAAATAATCGGTGAGTTCATGTCTTCCTCCTCCTGACTTTTGCCTATTTCTTCCTCCTTCACCGCTTTATCTCCCTTTCACCTCTTTATCTCCCCCTTCCCTGCCTGCACCCATCTCTCCCCTTCTCTGCCTTCATCTCTATTCCTTCCTGCCTCCATCTCTTCCTTCTTGTTTACCTCCATCTCTTCCTTCCTCCCTGCCTCCCTCTATTCCTCTCCCTCCCTACCTGCTTTCATGAACTATTCACTCGGCTGCTCCAAGCTCAGTTGCAGATCATTGTTCACTAATATCTTTTATGTATCTTCTGTTACTGTAATGACCACGGTCGGATATGTTATTTAACGTAAAATCTGACGATACATAATACGCTCAATCGCCCACAAAACATGTAACTATGCCTTCTTTATTGAGTCCCCCCTCTGAGGTGTCCGTTTTCTCATCGCTTCAAGACGCCCGAGTCCTCCGTTTTCCCATTTTCTCTGACTTCCTTAAACCAACCTCTCTATAAAGTAAATCTGAAAGTGAGAGAGAACACCATTGTTTTGAGTCAACTTAGATATGTCTGATTACACTTAAAGCATACAAGATGCTTTGTGAGTGATGTTGAAAGCTTTAACTGTCTTTATCGTTCGTAACACTTGTTAAGTAAGTGAGTGTCGAGTCTGCCAGTACGAATAGCGTCCAAGGATATTGTCCCTGGTTATAGCCCAAACAAAAGAGAATCTGATGTTTGTAGTTTAGTTAGTGTCAGTTGTCTATTCAAGAAAGCCATTAATCTCCTGAAAGAACATGTCAAACTTCTTATCTCCAAGATCTCAACCCATACCCATAGAGGGTCCTTGTCTGGAAATTCGCTTATGTTGGGAGAACTAATGTTATCAACGTGTGCAATTCCACTTTTTCCTGGTAAGCTCAATCTCTGATTAGATTTTATGAATAGACGTAGGATATTCGCCTGATCGGTGGCAATTTGTTGTCATAATTAAATGTACAGTGATTGAGTTGAATGTAATTTCTGTTATTGCTGACTGGCCTTTCTGGCATGTGATCTGCCCAGGCCTGAGTTGCCAGTTAGCCGTATATAAGCTCGTGCACAGAGGAGAGAGCGACTGCTCAGTCGTTTCTCCATCATTGTCACAGGTAAGAATACGATGATCCCCCTGCCATATTATGTACCGTAAATGTCTAAATGTCGTCTGTCGTTGCTAGACGAAAGATTGTTTGTGGGTCGTCGTCTTCTTCTTCCGGATGTGGTTGGGGGGGGTGGGGGGGGGGATTCCACAACCTTCCCAGTCAGTGGGTCCTGATACCTTCCGTTGGCGCCTGACGGATGGTACCATTCTCCACCTCCCAGGATGGGTGTGGATTCTTCTTCTTCGTCGTCGTCGTCGCCGTCTTCTTCTTCTTCTTGTGTTGCGAGGGTCGAGATGACAGGTCGCCTACATCACTACCCATGAAGGGTAGTGCGGGGAATACTGTCATGCTCGTGTTGTCACCCACTCCAGTGATTAGTTCAAGTGAGCAACTGGCTGGGTCCAGCCTCGATCTCGTCCCGCCGGAGCTGGACGGTGGTACCTAGTTCGCCAGGCCGCCGCCAGGGGGACACTGATCAACATTCCAGAAGTTGTATTCATGTTACATGTGGTATTTTTGCAGTTTTTCTTCAATAATTTATTTATTTGCGCAGTTATTAATATGAATTTATACTCAAATAGCAGAGTTACCGTGACGCTGTTGTTTGGGATAGGTTCTTGCAAAATGTCTTCATTAACTATTCAATATCAGGATCTATCTTGATATGTTTCACCAGTCGCCGCTGATAGATAGACATGAGTCATATACACATGCATACAAGCACACACATGACAGGCCAACAAGACAGTCATACAAGGACACACATGACAGTCAAATACACGCACACATATGAGTCATTGTGTGTGTACACAACAAGACAATCATACACTTGTGTTGTGTTGTATTGTAGGGAGTGCTGTGTTGTGTTGCAGGGAGAGTTGTGTTGTGTTGTAGGGAGAGTTGTGTTGTGTTGTATTGCAGGAAGAGTTGTGTTGTGTTGTATTGTATTGTAGGGAGTGGTGTTGTGTTGCAGGGAGAGTTGTGTTGTGTTGTAGGGAGTGTTGTGTTGTGTTGTATTGTATTGTAGGGAGTGTTGTGTTGCAGGGAGAGTTGTGTTGTGTTGTAGGGAGAGTTGTGTTGTGTTGTATTGTAGGGAGAGTTGTGTTGTGTTGTATTGTATTGTAGGAGAGGTTGTATTGTAGGGAGAGTTGTGTTGTATTGTAGGGAGAGTTGTGTTGTGTTGTATTGTAGGGAGAGTTGTGTTGTGTTGTTGTGTTGTATTGTAGGGAGAGTTGTGTTGTATTATATTGTAGGGAGAGTTGTGTTGTGTTGTATTGTAGGGAGAGTTGTGTTGTGTTGTATTGTAGGGAGAGTTGTATTGTATTGTATTGTAGGGAGAGTTGTGTTGTATTGTATTGTAGGGAGAGTTGTGTTGTATTGTATTGTAGGGAGAGTTGTGTTGTGTTGTATTGTAGGGAGAGTTGTGTTGTGTTGTATTGTAGGGAGATTTGTGTTGTATTGTATTGTAGGGAGAGTTGTGTTGTATTGTGTTGCTTGTAGGGAGAGTTGTGTTGTATTGTATTGTAGGGAGAGTTGTGTTGTGTTGTATTGTAGGGAGAGTTGTGTTGTATTGTATTGTAGGGAGAGTTGTGTTGTGTTGTATTGTAGGGAGAGTTGTGTTGTATTATAGGTTGTGTTGTGTTGTATTGTACGGGGAGTGTTGTATTGTAGGGAGAGTTGTGTTGTATTGTAGGAAGAGTTGTGTTGTGTTGTATTGTAGGAAGAGTTATGTTGTGTTGTAGGGAGAGTCGTGTTGTGTTGTGTTGTGTAGTATTGTAGGGAGAGTTGTGTTGTGTTGTAGTGTTGTGTTGTGTTGTAGATAGAGTTGTGTTGTGTTGTAGGAAGAGTTGTGTTGTGTTGTAACCCCCCCCCACCTAACCATACCCAACAACCTCCTCGCAAATGAGACATAACACAACCCCCCCAACCACTCCTCCCTAGCAAAACCTAATACACACAGTCAGACAGACAGAGACAGTCAGGCAGAAAGAGACAGACATAAACAGTTAAACTGACAGACAAAGAGACAGACAAGAAAGTCAGAGATTGACAAGACACAGACAGATAAACAGACAGTGAGAACAGACAGACAGACACACAGACAAACAGACAGACACACTGACAAAGACAGACAAACAGACAGTCAGAGACAGACAGACAGACAGACAAAAAACAGACAGAAAGACAGACAGACAGAGAGCCAGATACACAGACAGAACAGACAGGCAGAGACCGACATTGTGAGAAAGACAGAGAAGCTGAGACAAATAGACAGACCGAGACAAACACAGATAGACAGAGACTGACAGTCAGGTAGACAAACAAAGAGACACACACAGACAGACAGAGACCAACAGACAGATAAACAAAGACAGACAGACAGACAGACAGACAGACATACTTCTGGATGTATGTCTCCGTTTGTATGCTTGTCCCTGTCTGTCTGCTGTGCCTATATGATGTTTCTACTTATCTCTCTCTCTCTCTCTCTCTCTCTCTCTCTCTCTCTCTGCCTGTCTATCTGTCTGTGTCTGTCCGTCTGACTCTCGGTTTCTGTTTGTCTGTCTTTCTCACAATGTCGGTCTCTGTCTGTCTGTTTGTCCCTTTATGTCTCTTTATGTCTCCGATTGCCTGTCTGGCTGGCTGTCATTCTGTCTGTCTATTCGTTTGTCTTTCTCTGCCTGCTTGTTTGTTTGTCTGTCTGTCTGTCT